AATCCACGGTTTGGTTAGTTATGATTCATATCTAACAAACTAGATGAATCGTAACTCCGGAAATATTTAACAAGTACTATTGAAATAATCTCATGTCAGTTTACAATTTAAAAGCATTATCCTCATCAGTGTATTTAAAGAAACTGTTAACAGTTTATTGATTGACTCACCCCCCAAAACGGTCCGACCCCAAAAACTTTCGCTCCTCAGCCAGGAATAATAACCACGCACATGCAAATGTTTCGTATATGGGGTCACTCCCTTCTTTTTCTTTCCACCTGGAAAGAAAAAGAAGGGGTGACTCCATATACGAAACAAGAGCCTGTGGTAATTACTATTAAAATTTCAAGTCTGACAATGAAGCTTGAAATTGAATTGATGTTAGTTAGGAATATTGGAAAATATGTCTGAAAAATGTAACATTATTTCACCTAAAAAGTTTACCCTGCGTCTCCTTTTCCTTTCAGTATACATGTTTATTATATGATTGAATAATTCTCATCTCTCTGATTGTCTGAGATCCAACAATGTTAGAAAAATACTGCGTTATATTGACCTGAACGTGACCTTCCAGGTCAATATAAGGAATTATTTATTCTACATTGGACCAAAAATAGATAGGGAAATTCCAAATTGATGCAAATAGTTTTGGAAAGTTATTTCACTTGCACCTGACTTTCACTCATATGAACATAACATATATCAAATGAAATGCTGAAAAGTGGGCATACAATAATATTACCCTGTTTACTGAAATTATTTAACTTATGCTTTTCATATGGTCATTACCCAGAGACATGGGCAAAAGGATATATTACCCCTATATTTAAATCAAATGATCCCTGTGATCCAAATAATTACCGTGGAATAACTATAACAAGTAATCTTGGTAAACTCTTTAATAATATTTTAAATACCAGATTAGATAACTTTTTAAGGGAGAACAATTTAATACACTCTTGTCAGGCAGGATTCACAAAACATGCCAGAACTTCAGATCATTGTTTTATTGTTAAATGTCTTATCGATAAATATTGTAACACAAAAGAAGGAAGACTTTATGCCTGTTTTGTAGATTTTCATAAGGCATTTGACAGTGTTGTTCATAATGGTTTGAAATTGAAACTACTGCAATACAATGTTGGAAATAAATTTTATAACTTTGTAAATGATATGTACATGAAAAGTGAAGCATGTGTCAAGTATGGAAATCTTCTTACTTCTTCATTTCCTATCAAATTAGGTGTACATCAGGGAGATTACTTGAGTCCAACTTTATTTAAAATGTTTATAATTGATTTGCCATCATATTTACAAGGCTGTATAGACTCTGTCATGTTACACTCAAAAAGTATAGACTGTTTGATGTATGCAGATGATATAGTAATTTTTTCATCAACACCTGAAGGACTACAGCAAAAGCTAAATTCTTTAGAAAAGTATTGTGATGATTGGGGTATGAAAGTAAATTCTAATAAAACGAAAATTATTATATTTAACAAAGCTGGGAGAACAATCAAACATAAATTTCACTACAAAAATTTCAATATTGAATGTGTATCTAGTTATAAATACCTAGGCATCTATTTCACAGCCTCGGGGACTTTCTCTATGGCAAAAAAATGAGTTATACAAAAAAGGACTTGAAGCTTTTTTCAAGTTTCGAAAGACTTTCTTAGCTTAAATCCTGGGATATCCACTAGCCTCAATATCTTTGATCACACAGTTAAGCCTATATTACTTTACGGCTCAGAAATATGGGGAATATTTAATGTTAATAATTCAAAAATAAAGCAATCTAATCAAATATTGATGCAACTATGCTATAAAAGCTTTACAGGAGAAAATTTACACGTCAAGTTCTGTAAAACTATACTAGGTTTAAATAGGAAAAGTACGAACCATGCCTCTCTTTCAGAATTAGGTAGATATCCTTTACATTATGATATTATCAACATGTTACTTAAATATTGCTACAGATTAGAAAATTTAAATTCAGATTTCCCTTTACTAAAAGATGCATTTATATGTAGTAAGGAACTTCATTTCGCCCAAAAAACAACTTGGTACTCCTCAATAGAAAAATTACTAAAAATTCTTGATATCCCAAACATAATGTCCTATACTAAGAGTAATTTTATGAATTCATTAAAACAATCCATGCATAAAAAATACTCACTTGATTGGCAACATTCAAATGAAACACTAAAAGAGGGCAAACTTGTCACTTATTTATTTCTGAAGAACAATTTTAGATTGGAAAAATATCTAATTTTATTAAAACCTGAATACAGAAAACCAATATGTAGATTACGTGTATCAGCGCACAGACTTTTTATAGAATTAGGCAGATATAATCAAATTGAAGATGCTTAATCAAATTGAAGATGAAGAACATTTCCTTGTTCACTGTAGCAAATTTACAAAGGAAAGAGAAGACCTATTTAACCTGATCTCATCTAAAGTAAAACATTTTACAGAATTGCCTGATAAACAAAAATTATTCTGGATTCTAAATTGCGAAGAACTAGATATACTAAACTCTCTTGGAAGATTTTTACAAAAAACATTACCATAAATTTTAGGATTATTAATTATGTAAAAGTATGATACTTTCAAGTATATGGTTTAGTAATGTATGCATATATATATGATGTACTATATATATACCTATAAAACAAGTCTTATGTTCATATAAGATATTTTGGGTATTCCCCTACTTGTATGTCTTTTCTATCAATCAAGCAATTCTCTTCCTCTTATGTATATGTATATTGTATTTCGTGTGTATGATCATAATCATTATATACATTTTAACAATGTACTTTCTTTTTGCCCCATGAGGGCCCTTAATTGGTCAATAAACGAATTGAATTGAATTGAAATTGAATATATTTTTGGGTGGGGGTTGCAGGAGGCATGCCCCTCTCCCCACCTTTTGAGAATGTAAAGTTTTAATTTAAATAAGGATAAAAAATTTCAATGAAAGCCCCCCCCCCTCCCCTCGTTTATGAACCTTTACATCCCAATAAATAAAATTTTGAGCTGAGAGAATTCTTTTCCTTTTTGTTGGGGGGGGGGGGTAGTCAAAGATTTGTTTTCGTTGTCATTTTTTTCTCTTTTAATGCCCCCTTTTTCAAAATGAATCCTATATGTGCCTGACATTTATTTCTTCTACATTTAACCTAAGCTAGAAGTAAAAATTCCAAAATAATACAACTGGTTGTTTTTTAAACCCCGTTTCTCTCATTATGTTCTGCTAGTACTTCAGTAGATGTGAACAATTAAGATGGCATGGATTGCTTAAAGAGTGTGTGTCATTTAATCATTGAATCATATAATAAAACAATTATTGCTGTTTTTCGGTCAATACTATGATTTAACCACCTTCGAAGTACAATATTCACCCCTCAGGTGTCTAAATCATCGTATTGACCTCAAAAACCAGCAATAATAATTATTGTATAATATATAAAAGAGCTGATTTCAGAACCTGAGGAACGGACTACTGTCCTTCCTAATATACTTTATTTTAGCAAATAAAATATACAACATGACTATCAATGATAGTCACATGACTATCAAGGATAGTCATGTTGTATGTTTTATTTACTAAAGTAAAGAATATCAGGAAGGACGTCGACACTACCTTAAATTTGCATCTGGAATTCTTATGCGCAGAATTGCTAGATATTCTTCTCGTTCTGCTTCTAATTTCCCCTCGAAATCATTTCAATCTTAGTATAAATAAGTTTTTCCCCTTTTTATTTACATGAAAAATTTTGATCCTGCATTGTGGCACCACTTTATTCCCAAGGAATCATGACATAACTTGAATCCAAGCTTCGATATTAATATGACTAGCATGGCCTTTGTTCTGGTGAAGAAACTTTCTAAAGAGCTTGTTTTCCTATACAAATTCATAAGCTAAGATTTTAACCCCGTCCTAACCCCAGGGTACGTAATTTGAAAAAAAAAAAGAATCAACAACTTGAAAATGTTTTTAAATTGATAAGATTTAGATGGACCTGCCACTCTTGAAACTATGGTGGACCCACAAATTGATTATGATTTGACAAATTTCCATCTGCACTACTGAGGATGCTTGTCTGTTAACAGGTTAATACGACTAATCATGACCTAAACTTTGATCCTCTTTGAAGGTCTCACCCTACCCTAGAGGCAATGGTTTGAACAAATAATCTACATCATATCTGGAAGCATTGCTCATCCAGTGGTTCTTGAGAAGAATATTTTAAATGATTTCTTGATTATCCCCCCCTTAGAAGGAAGCATGGCTCAATTTGAACAAATCTAAATCCCCTTTACTCAAGGAAACTTTGTACCAATTAAGTTCAACTGAAATTGGCCCAACGGTTGCGGAGAAAGGTCTACCTAAACACCAATAAAAACGACGACGGACAACGAACTGCTCACTTGAGCTTTTGGCTCAGGTGAGCTAAAAAATAAAATATAGAATCACTAAAAACAAAATTATTTGAGGAAATGGCTTCAACGTGAGAGTCTGTTTCTACGTATCCAACTACACAAAATCGAAATTCAGCCAAAGTAAGATAACTCTCAAAAGGTAAGAAGTATCTAAATGGCCCACTGATGATACTGAACGCAGTACATTGTACTTTCATTAGTAAATTCAAGCCCTGTGTAGTTAGCTTAGAAAAAGCATGGTAACTAAATTTGTTGCATCAGTTTGCTCTTTCCTTGAATACAAGGAATTCAGTATTACGTACAGTTGAACTTTGATATCTTGAAAACAAACATCTTGATTACCAGGGATATGTCAAAGTAAGTTAGCAGTCTCAACCACTTTTTTTTTATCATTATTTTATCCTCTTTATCTTCAATCTTTCGACATCTTGGTCCCGTGGAGTTCGAGATTACAAACTTTGACAGTATGTTGTCAACAGCTTACTAGTATTTCACAGCACCACTCTTAACCTTATACTCTTATTGTTCATTTTTAAAATCACATGCATACATATTTTTTAAAGTATTTATTGTATCCCATGTTTAATGCATACAACCATACCATTATCAATTAGTGATTTTAAAGACAACAAATAACTGTTTACATACATGTCAAATAATCACAAGAAAATATCACAGTTACAGTGTATGTAAGCATTACAATTCAAGTTTAAAATAAGACTGTAATCGAATTCATACTTTCAGTATCAAGATTACAATTCACATAGTTACACCTGTAAAATCATGCTGGTTTCAAAAGCACAATGCTAAGTTTCAGTGCACTAATAATGAAAATATATAGATTTACTTTTATTATTTCTTTACGTACATAATATACATGTACAGTGTATATATAAATATTCATATATAAAGACATTAAATATAAACATGTTATATAAGGAATCATTGGCAATTTCATTCTTGCTTCTGATTTAAAGAGAAAACAAATCTTTAAAAATGTTGCTGGTTGCTTCAACTTGTGAATGCATTACTGTAAATAATGCCTCTGCTTTTTCACCAAATTTACCAGTAGAAGAAAAAAATTGCCAAAATTCCATATACAACAGTAAACATTTCTTGAAGCAGTTTTAACTTATATAAAGCACTAAAAAAAAAATAATAAAATAATGGACTGTTCAAGTGAAGATTCAACAGGTTGGTCACTTCAGCAACCACTTTGAATTGTTTTCATGAATGTTTTGAAACAAGCTCTTATTTTCACTGTTGCTGGTGCTGGAACCACTTAACCAGGTACTTGTAACTGGTTTCTTCATCAACCAGCCCTGGTTCTCTGCTGGTACAGTAGTTGGTATGGCAATTACCTGGCCCTCTGGAATATCTTTACCTACTATTTTACTACCAGGAGCTTTAACCCATGTCGACAGGTTGGTGTCAATATGGTCAAATGACACTACCTCCGGAGTAGCCTTTTTGGTCGATGTCACAGGTTTCAGCCAATCAGAGAGCTGTTCTTTGGTGTTAATAAGATACTTGCTGAATGGATTGGAAGCATTACTGCTGCAAGACCTGGCATGTCCCGATTTCAGTAACCATGCATTAGTATCTATTGGGCCAGTGTAGGTTTTGCGTACTTTGTTAGATATGCCTGTGGTGTTAGTTGTTGTGAGTTTACAGGATGGATTCTTTTGAAGGAATTTATCCAGACAACTGGGATCTGCAGAACACTCCTTTACATCTGTAAAATAAATTTAAATCTTAAAACTGGCTTTATTGATGTATTCTAAATTTACAATCCTTTAAAATGCAATACGAAATACAACTTTTCTGGGTTTTTTTCTTTTTTGGGGGGTGGGGGGTGGGGGTTCAACTGAGTCCAGAGTTGTGAAAACAAGTGGCCTCATCAGCATGAATGGTACCAAAAAAAAGACCAATAAATCCTCAGGTTTCTCTGTCAAGACAACTGTTGGACTTTAACACTGACCAATCAAAAGAAAGTACCAATATTTGGATTGACAGATAATAAGTGGAAATAATGAAAGTTTGGAATCTATCAGTCAGAATATTTGACAGTTCTTAGAAAATTTTGACTAGTTTGATACAGATGACCTATTGCTATCTACTAGTATTTTTGTGCCCTAGTTATTTGTAAATTTTGGAAAATTTTTGCTTCCACTCTGATTTTGCTGACCAATTTGAACCATCTTTGAAGTATGAAATCCATGGGAAAATAATTTGTTTTCCTTGCTAAAGGTGACCATCAATGCCTATGGCCTTGCCCTGTCCCATCTAATTACAGTAAATTTTATGTTTGACTATAACAATAGGACATCCCTTACCATGACATTGTTCCTCTGCTGTACAAAGCCAGGTGAAGTCACTAGCCTTGGGATTTTCATGTCCTAAACAAGACCCCAAATTCTCTATGTCCATTGCTTTCTTGGACTGGCAGGTCTGGCTACAACAGCTATCTGTCTGCAGATTCAAGACATCACATGATATAGTGAATTTATTTTCAATACAAATTTTCATTTTTCAAAATGGAACATGACCTTTCCAAAGGAGAGCAAAAAGTCAGCACATGAATTTGTTCAACCAAAAATTTGCAGTTTTTATACATTTTTTTTTTTTTTTTGAAATTTGATATTAAAACAAAAATTTGTTTTACCTTCTTTGCAAGCCAGTGTTTGGTGTCCTGAGACACTGTAGCAAAGTAGGTTTGAAAAATGTCATGAGGCTTGCTTTGAGTTGAGTTCTTGCTGTGTATAGAGCTGGGAGAGGAGCTAGTCTTCAGCCACACAGTGGAGGATGGCTTGTACTTCCAATGAAGCAGGTCTGGAACAGAGTGGGAGGGGGAAATGACAAAATCATGGTGGAATTCAGGGTCTGTTTCTGGAGTACCTGCAAAAAGTAAGGGATAATACTATATCAAGTACTGTAGATTACCAAATTTTCGCAAGAACTTAATTACGTGAGATAGATATTTGGTACATATAAGAGGGACAAAATTTTTATGAATTCTGTTTATTGCTGTATATAAGCTATGCTAATAAAATTTTACACGAGAATGAAATTTTCACAAGCTGACGGTCTCGCTTAATTATGAGAAAATAAAGTTCTCACGACTAAAAAGTGATTTACAGTAAATAAATAAACTGCCATTTTAACCTCATTTACATTCATCTTTGTATATAGGGTTTGTGCAATGAGAGAGTGGGGAACATGGAAATAGCAATATTGTGTGCTCAATGGAGTTTTTTTTTCTTACAATATGTACCAAAATTTCAAATATATCCATTCTTCTAGTGACACACACTAGATTCTAAATATATCTGATAAATATCCAGCATTAATATTCTTTGTTACTTAATTCAGTCGTATGTCTGAATATGACATTTGATTCTCAGACATGAATACACATTTTGGGCTGAAATTTTTTAAAGCCATTTTTTTCTTGTCACATCCACACTGGTTTTTTTTGTGGTGGTAGTGGGGGTGGGGTGGGGGGTTGCTAGCCTTGATCTTAAAACACATACCAGTAGATCCTCCTCCTTCCACAATCTCAAAATCATCCTCATCCTCAAAATCCTGTTTAATCTGCTTCAGCCAGCTCTTGGTGCTTGAAAAGGTCGAATGAGAGGAGAAGGAGGGCACACTGTGACTGGGGGTCAAGGACAAGACCTCATCTGACAAAGTGGAGGAGCAAACTGACCCCTGGTCCTTGCTGTCACCTGATTGATACAACCAATCATTCTTCTTATTGCTCAAGTTTGGCATGGAAAATTTGGGGGCAGACACAGACATCTTTGAAATGGAGGAAGGTCTGGCCAGCCAGTCATCAGCATTAGGAGAAAGCTTGGGAATTTTTACATCAATCTACAAGTACAGTACAAAACAATGAGCATTATAATGTATACTTAGTTTTGAACCTCACTTGTAGCTACTTACTTAAGGACACTTAAAAATTTGTCATGTTCCAACTGCAACAGATTACAATTGAGCAAGTACTTATGATCTGTGTAACAAGTTCAAACTTGAAAATTTGATTATCCATTAAGATTCATTTTCTCAGAATTCTACATTCTCTTTCAGTAATATAAGTATTTCTTTCAATGAATACCACAACATTTTCTGAAAATTTTTCACAGTATTTATGATAACAGCATAGTAATCCATAAACAGTCCTTCAGCAGCAAATAACAAGGATATGCTACCTGGGTTTAATACACACAAATGTCACACTTTGTCACTCTTAACTTGCACAAACCTCATCATTCACCATGTACACTATATTACACCCAATCTAGCATACATCAGTGCACCTCCTTTTTCACATCCTGTTGAGCCATGCAATGTGTGAGAAATAACCTCCCACCCCACCCCCATGCACTCCCTTCCCCAGAAAAACTTACACAGGCGTTGGACATCTTAGATTGATGAACCTCCTCTACAGTTTTATACAGGACGTGGTGTTCAGCATCCTCATATTCCTCCACATGTTTGGGCAGACTGGTCGATGGATTCCCCGGCTGAACAAACACAGAGTGGGGCAGACCACTGGCGTCTATCTTACCAAAGCTGTTGATACTCTCTCGGAGTGACCCAGCATCACAGCGGAAGGTCAAGTATGGCGATTCCTCAGGCTTCAAGTCACTGGGATCAATTCTATATGAAATGGAAGATGTTTTTTTAAAAAAAAGAAACAAGAGAAATAGGAACTGGTGCTCAAGTACAGAATTACTTTTTTGTATAAGACACACAACTGGGAAACAGACTTTTAAGATAAATTATTTTCCTTTCTATTTTTTTTTATCCCAAATATACTGTTACCAGCAAACTATCAATAAATCTTGACTCTAGCATGTACCATAACTTTTTAAAATAAAATAGCATGTAATCCATGTATTAAAAAAATGTTCAACATAAATTACTTTTTCTCCTCAAAACAGTCAGCCTCATTTCTGTATTTAGTATATTACCTTGTTTGGCTTAATCCCCCCTTCTGGGTCTGGATGACCCCCAGTAATTTGTGCAGCTTTGCCTGCTGGTTACTGAGAACCTCTTCTTTAGCACTCTGTAACAACTCCACCTGGTTCAGGAGCCAAACCTCGCGGTTCCTCAAGGCCTCCAAATTACGACTCACTGCTGTCTGAACTTGTAGTTTAACCTATGTGCGAAAAAAGAAGTGATTTAATATTATACATCGTTTTAATTTGATTACAACTGAGTTTCGGTAATCCTTACATCAATAATAGGTATACCTCGCTTTGCTGTCAAAATCTGGGGAAACATTTACCAATTATGAAAGGTATGTTTCAATAATTTGGATGTTTCATTAACATGTACAATATTCCCAGGAAAAGAATCCTGATTTATGAGACTCAACTGTAAATCAAATTCTTTTTATAATGCTTTTTATTAAGTGTACTGGTTATAACATGTCATGGGTACCAAGTATACATTAGAAAATGTTTGAACTTTCTCTGTATAATAGGTACAGTCCCTATATGTTTTAATTAGTTCACATGCATAGAAACACCAGTCCTATATCTAGCCTTAACTCACTTGTATATAGTTCCATGTGAAACTTTTGATCCCATATTATGACCCCAGAGACCATGAGTTGAACAGTTTTGAATCTACACTACCTCAGGAAGCCTTCAAATGAGTTTCATCTTCTCTGGTACAGTGGTTTTTGAGAAGATTTTTAAAGTTTTTTCCTATATATTTCAATGTAACACTTTGACTCCTTATTGTGGCCCCATCTAACCCCCCCCCCCCCGGTGTCATGATTTGAATAATTTAGAATCTACAGTTCCTCAGGAAAATTTCCGATAAGTCCAGTAGTTCTTGAGAAGAAGATTTGAATAATTTAGAATCTACACTTCCTCGGGAAAATTTCCAGTAAGTCCAGTGGTACTTGAGAAGAAGATTTTTTAACTTTCTGTGCTATATATTTCAATGTAAAATTTTGATCCTTTATTGTGGCCCCACCCTAACCCCAGGGTCTATGGTTTGAACTATTTACAATCTACATTATGTCTGAAGCTTTCACATAACTTTCACCTTTTCTGGCCCAGTGGTTTTTGAAAAGATGATTTTTAAAATTTTTCTTTTATATTATTTCAATGTAAATCTTTCGTCCCACCTTATCCCTGAGGTCATGACTTGAACAATGTAGAATTTAAACTTCCTCATAAAGCTTTCACACGTTTCACCTTTTGGGGCCCAGTGGTTCTCTTGAGATTTTAAAAAAGTTTTCTTGTACATTTCAATGTAAAACGTTGATCCACTACTGTGGCCCCATCCTATCCTCAGGGGTCATGATTTGACCAATTTAGATTTACTTAAGGGAATGCTTCCTGATTAAGTGTAGATTCTAAATTTTAGAATCTACACTTAATCAGGAAGCCTTCCCTTTAGTTTCATCTTTTCTAGTCCAGTGGTTTTTGAGAGGAAGATTTTTTAAAGATATTAATTCCTATATCCTTTTAAAATTATAATTTTACACAAATAAAAAATATTTTTAAAAAAAATTAATTATACTTTATTTTTCAATTTATCATTTTTTTTCTAACTCACCTCACTGACATTTTGCTGAAGCTTTCTCTTTACTTTGTCAATTTCTTTAGTAGCATTTTCTATCTGGCTTGCCTGATTTTCCATTTCACAATATCTCTTTAAAAAGAAATAGGGAAAAATTAAATGCACCTGTTAAGAACTTTTTTTGAAAAGCAGGAAAATTGACCTGAGTGTTTAATATATACTGCACTGAAATCTACGCAGTTGTGTATTGACACAAACAGATGAAAGGTAAAAATCTTATCTAATATTTAGAACAGGTATGGGTCACAAAAATTTATCTCTACCAGAACCTGTGCCTGCAATGTTTATGTGAAAGAACTAAAGGTTACTGGCCTTGATCTAAAATCACACTAAGATAATGTGTCACATGATGTAATAATTAAATAAGCAAAATATTTACACGTCTTAATGCATGTAATGCATTCATCATTCATTTACTTGATTTAATTATGCATTTCTATTTAGATTTTGATTGCTTCATTATAAATAATAAAATTCTAAAAATTAATACATATATTTTTAAAGAAAATAAATAAAAATAATAAAATGAATGGATATAAAAGCAAACGACTTACACGTTCCTGTCATGACCGTGACCGACAACCGACATGTGTTTCTCAGTCACGTGTCGCAAATATTATTATTTTTGTTGAGGGAAACTAAGGTGCTAAGTTAATTATAAAAAGCAAGGAGGGTAGTCATTTAATACCACATTAAATGTAAAAAATTTAATCACATTTAAAAGGCAGATGAATTCTGATGACATTGTTTTATCAAATATACGCCATACTCTCGTGCATTCCTGTCACGTTCGCACATTTCGCCATCGTTTTGAGACTGCAAGACAGAACCGAGTAAAATTCTTCTTAGCAAAATTGGCTGCCATGATATTTAATTAATCTCTAATTCATGGAATGTAGAAAAATGGGTACATTAATACTTACAAAGATTAAACTGTTAAAGTAGATTGAAGATAGTCCGTTGACGGTTGAACAAAACAACCGGAACTTCCGTGTTGCCTCTTTCGAAGAAATACTTTTCCGGAATATATGTCGTCAAAAAGTGTTTTAGTTTGTTCTGTTAATTTCCGGTATGCCGTATCAACATGTAAACAACAAATCTGACATTTGACTAGGTCCATTGACAAGTACATGTAACAGTGCTAAGTATATGGCAGATCGTGAACAAATTATCAGCTAATTGATAAATACTTAATGATAATTTATTTTAAATAGTATATTTCCTTAAATCTGTATGATGGACAGATTAGATAGATTCTTTATTTCCAAATCAGGGCCCTTTCAGGCATCACAAACAACAAGCATGATTTATACAACTACAAACAGCACAGACAAATTATGTGTATCCAAAATAATCTACATTACATGTCATTGTATATATGTATGTATGAATTTATACGTTTCTTAAATATGAAAAGACATATTGTATATATTCTCTGTTATATTTTAATTTCCTTCAGAGCATTATATACTGTCAGTTCAGCTGTGAAATATGGGTGCATTCACTAGTCAGATACTGGTTCCAGAGACCAAGGCATGTACCCGTCACACTGATCCAAAGAAACCAAACTGGATAACTATTCACGCTGTTGCCTCGGAATGTGCGTCAAAAATAATATGCTTCAAATTAAATGTGTTGTTTATCTGACATTTTCATTTTTAGATCACCTGAGCTGAAAGCTCAAGTGAGTTTTCTGATCACATTTTGTCATCATCCATCTGTCTGTCTGTCAGTCTGTAAACTTTTTACATTTTCGACTTCTTCTCCAGAAGAAGGGAGAAGAAGGGAGGTTAATTAAGAATTAGTGAAAATTTGGTGGTATCTTCAAAACATCATCTCAAGAACCATTGGGCCAAATAAGTTGAAACTTATGTGAAACCCTTATTACATAGTGTAGATTCAATTTTATTTATATCTTGACCATGGGGGGTTTGGTGGGGTCATGATGGGGGATCAAGGTTTTACATAGGAATATATAAGAATAAATATTTAAAAATCTTCTTCTCAAGAACAGCATAGCCCTGAGAAGTCATATTGATATGGAAGCATCTTCAGACAGTGTAAATTCAAATTTGTTTAAATCATGATCCCCTGGGGTAGGGTTTTGGCCCTATTGGGGGTTCAGAGTTTTACATAGAATATTTAGGGAAATTTTTTTTTAAAACAGCAAAGCCATGTTTAGTCATATTGATATGGAAGCATCTTCAGGTAGTGCAGATAAAAGTTTGTTCAAATCATGGCCCCTAGGTGTAGGGTTAGGCCACAATTTACTATTAGAGTTTAATATAGGGATATATAGGGAAAAAAATCATAGAAAATCTTTTTTTTTCAACAGCAAAGCCATGTTTAGTCAAATTGAAATGAAAGTATCGTGAGGTAGTGTACATTTTTCATAGAAAATCTGCTGATGAAGAACAACAGGGCCATATTGACTCATATTGATGTGGGCCTTGATTCCCCTTGCTTTTGATCTTCAGAATCATATAATTCCAGGGATAAGCAACTCCATTTTTAACCAGTTTATTTTCTAAATTATACATTTTTCTTAAAATTATTTTTTGTATTGGTTTTGCATATATGTTTAGTATCTGATTTAATATATGGATGCTTTATCCTGAGATGTTATTATTAATTGAATAGTGAGTATTGCTGAGGTGGAGAGACTTTGGCTAAGGTTTAAACAGCTCGGGTGTACAGATAAAGGAGAACTCTCTGAAGAGGCTTTGGCTCAACATCCAATCAATCAAGATGCCTTCTCACGAAATGTAAGACTTCTTAAAAAATATATAAGAGGAAAATCCCAATGAAAATAAATGTGTTTTACATGTAAATAACCAAGTCATAGTCATAGGAAGATATTTTTTTGTTCTTTTTATCTGCTTGTTATGCCCTCGTAATCGAAGATTCGGGGGCATATAGTTTTTGCTCTGTCTGTCTGTCTTTCTGTTTGTCTGAAAAAATTTAACCTTGCGCATCACTTTTGATTGGTTGAAGCTATGGCTTCCATATGGCTTTCATATTTCACATGTGTATCCCTGATGACAAAAGCTTTCACTAACACATTTGACCTCTTGAACTTGGAGTTTTGCCCACTTTTACAAAATTTTGCAAAAGTTAATTTTAACTTTAACATTGGCCATAACTTTTGAATTTTTTGTGCTAGGGCTTTCATACTTCACTCATGTATTTCTTGTAATAACAGCTTTCCTTGGGTACAAATATTTTTGACCTTGACCTTTAAGTTTGACCCACTTTTAAAAAAAATTAAACTTGGCTTTAACTTTTGAATGGTTGAAACTAGTGCTTTCTTATTACACATGTGTATTCCTTGTAACAAGACCTTCTCTTTAGTACCAATATATTTTTTACCCTTGACCAATGAAATTGAACTACTTTTGAAAAACTATAACCTTTGCCATAACTTTTGAACAGTTGGGGCTAGGGCTTTCATAATGCACATGTGTATTCCTTATGTCAAGAACTTTTCTTGAGTACCAATATATTTTTTGACCTTTTGACCTTGACCTTTGAGTTTGACCTACCTTTGAAAAACTATAACATTTGCCATAACTCTTGAAAGTTGATTCTAGGGCTTTCATATTTCAAATGTGTATTCTTTGTGACAAAACCCATCTTTTGGTACCAATATTTTTTTTTGATCTGTTGACTTTGGGGTTTGACTTGCATTTGAGAAAGTTTAACCTTTGCCATGAGCTGCCATACAGGGACATCAGTGTCTCACGAACACATCTTGTTTAAAATGAAAAGACACTGTAATCTAAATATCTACCAAGGTGCATTAGCATTACAGCCTTTTACAGGTAAGTTACAGGTAAGTGGGTTACTAAGTATGCATTAGTGAACATAGCATTATAGAAATTATCACATGTTTAAGTGCATATGATTCATCAAACATCAAAACACAATAAATTTTTTGCTAACAAACATTATTCAAACAGCTGCATTTGATGATCCCCACAAGTTCACTATATTAGTACCTATTTAAATATTGTCTGTATTTTCAAACATGTTTTTGTTCAAATATTGATTACATGTATGTGTAATTTCAGATAATGAAAAAGTTTGTAAATCCCAGGACAAAGACAATATCATTTGAAAATTTCCTCAGAGGATTGAAGTGGTGTGAGACTTCCAGCACAGAAAACAAACTTAAAGGTGTGTCAATTGGAAATCTCAGCATTAGGGACTAAATTAGAATTGCATGTGGGCATGGAAAAACTTAATCTTTTATAATTAAATCAAAGTGATATGAAACTTTAAATATTGAGAGCACATTTAAACATACATGTATTTTCTGATCTCCTGAAAATTGCATAATGCAGTAAAAGATACTTCTATTGAACATGCTTATAATGAATTGACACTTAAATTACAGCGAAGTGATTTCTATTCGCCATGGCTTTAAATTTATATTATTGCACTTAACAGATATACTGAATTATGTTTATAATGAAGCAAAATCATTGATCCCTGGCTCTTCATTATAAGCGTGTTTTACTATATTTTAAGTTTTGTCAATGGAAAAAAAGACAACTCTTATTGATATGGAAATATTGGAAAATCAAAAGATGTTTGAATGCATCACCATGTTTAATTTTTCATTCCAGGTGTTTTCCGGATGTTGAACAATGGGAATAATTTACCAAAGGACATTTTCAGAAAGATTATAGAGAGGGTATATGTCCAGCCAGAGGACAAAGGGGTAAGAAAACAGAGTGTGCAACATAAGCAAAAACAAGATACATGTTTACAAATAGTAAGATTTTTAAATTCTGAAAACTTTCAGTTCATGTGCATGAATATTCCTCCCTTCTTATGAGATACTGCTTGTTTTGGAGATCTGAATATATATCATTTTTTCAAAAAAAAAAAAAAAGAAGAAAATTAGTGTACTTCTAGTTCATATTTACCATCTTGCCATAATCTTAAGCTGACCCTAAGGAGAATTTTGATTGGCTGAGCTATTTTGAACTTCTCCAGATGAACTAAAGAAGTGCCAAAGTTACTTAGTTCCTGCATGTTAGACATACATGTATTTTTTTAAATTTATTTTTTCATAAAAATGAAATTGATTAAATTGGATGTGACTTAGATGAGACCTTCATTTGACCAATTTGGTGCTTGGAAATTATGTAAAGTTGGGGATTGTATACCTTACTAAATATAAATATTTTTTTCCTAGCATATACTTTCTCCCTAGTATGAAAAAAAATGTATGTTTTTAATTCCCCCCCCCCCCCCCCTCCGAAACACAAACCCATGCAATCACTTTTTTGTTTATATCCTCAATAAGTATATCACTGACCTTCTTTCTTTTTTTTTTTTTAAATTTTGTTATGTTTTTCTGTAATTATAATTTATTGAATTTTTTGACAGAATATAGATCGAGTTGTTAATACACTTTACCAATTTATGGATCCAGGGAATAAAGGTAGCATTCCTCAGTGAAGTATATCATGCAGCTTTGAATTTAGTCTTTGTTTATCACAAATAAATGTTTAATATTGATGGATCATAAGTATTGAAATTATCGATATCGGATTTTCATCTCATCAGGGACTATAAACGAGGAGAACTTTGTCAGAGGCTGTCTAAAAATTCCACAACCTCTTCTCGAAGAGGCCTTGAACTTTGAACTTTTGCCCACACAAATGAGGCAAGAACTTCACAGCAAACTTCCAGAGGTAAATAAAATCAAATTATTTAGGATACTCTTATAGGAAAAAAATGAGTAATTGTATACTGTAAATACACATACATGTATGTTAATTTGAATGTTTTGGAAGTGGTGTGAGTTTATACGGATATTGTATAAATTGTTATCAGCAAATACATCAATTTATGTTTTAAGCTCACCTGAACTTTTCTGATCAAAAAGTGACTGGCATCCGTCTGTCAGTCTGTTGTCTGTCGTGACGGTGTGCTGTCAGAGTGTAGACTTTTCACACTTTCTATTTCTTCCAGAACCACTTGGCCAAATTCAACCAAAATTGCCACAAAAAATCCTTGGGGTAAAGGGGATTAAGTTTGTTCACAGGAAGTGCCATAATCTCTTTCATGGGAAGATAATTAAGAATTCGTGAAAAGTGGCATCTTTTAAAAAATCTTCTCAAGAACCACTGGGCCAGAAAAGATGAGAAACTCTGGCATTACATACTGTAGATTCAAATTTGCTCAAATCATATTCCCTGGGGGGTAGGGTGGGACCACAACAGGGGATCAAATTTTATATAGGAATATAAAGGAAATATCTTTAAAAGTCTTCTTCTCAAGAACAGAAAAGCCATCATTAGTCATTTTAATACAGAGGCATCCTCAGGTAGTGTAGAATCAAGTTTTTCAAATTATGATCCCTGTGTAGGGTGGAGCCACAACAGGAGATCAAAGTTTTACATAAATGTATTGGAAATATCTTTTAAAAACTTTTCCCCAAGAATAGCAAAGCCTTGATCAGTCATATTTATATGGAATCATCCTCTGGTAGTGTAGATTGAAGTTTGTTTAAATCATAACCCCTGGGTGTAGGATGGGGCAGAAATAGGGAAACAAAGTTTCACATAGGAATGTATAGGAGAACCCTTTAAAAATCTTCTTCTCAATACCAACAAAGTCAAAATTATTATTCATATTCTTGTGGAAGCATATGCAGGTAATGTAGATTATTTTGATCAAACCATGAACCCTGGGGTTAGGGCGGGGCTACAATGGGCAATCAAAGTTTTACATAAGAATAAATAGAAAAAATCTTTTAAAATGCTTCACAAAAACAGCAAAGCCATGGTTAGTCAATTTTTATGAAAGCATCCTCAGGTAGTGTAGATTGATGTTTTTTCAAATCATGACCCCTGGGGTAGGGTGGGGCCATAAAATGTGATCAAAATTTTGCATAAGAATATATTATAAAAAGAATCTGCTGATGGAGAACAGAAGAGCCATTGTTACTCAAGTGAGTGGTGTGGCCCATGGGCCTATTGTTCATTGTTTTTACTGGTACTGTTTCCAGATTTGAAATTATTTTAAAAAATATCATTTGATAGCAGATTTAAGTCAGGTGCAATACTTGTATTATGATGGAGGGTTAATGTCTTTTGGTTATAAATGTAATCTGTGTGACCCAGATAAATGTAAATACCTTAATGTCAGATTTCTAATCTATGAATATTGTTAAATATTATACAGTATTCATAGATTAAAACTGGTTGAAACCAGATCAGAAAATCTCAAAAACTATACGATAATCAGTCTTTTATTGTTACAATAATCAGAATTTAATTTTACAGATGCAATCTGGCAGACAAACTCAGAATAGAATGGTATCTATTGGATATAATTTAAAGTCACTTGTTTCACATATATCACATCATTTTTATTCATTGAATTTAATTAATTAGGCATTAAATAAAACCCTCAGGTTGTTCAAACAGTCAAGTAAACCTATAAATATATTCCTGAAGAGCATATATTTTATATGTACATGAATGTTACATAATTAATTTTTTAAAAAAATTTTTTAATGCTTTTCCAACTGAACTGTACAAATGGTACTAATTTTTCAATCCTACTTATAGTTTTTCTTTTTAGATTCCAAAAATTTTATTGTGACAAAATTATTTTATAGAAACTGCACTTTACTTGTATTTTTTTATTTAATGCACACAACATAGACAATATTTTGTCTTTTTGCACTTTTTTAAAAATTAGCTTTTTGGGTGAATGCAGTGGCTATATATATATATATATATATATATATATATATATATATATATATATATATATATATATATATATATATATATGGATTTGTTATAATATTAAATGTACACAGGGCTCTCACTCCACTTTTAGGACAAGGGCCGGAGCCAATAAAATTGGGGAAATATATAAGTGCCTTTTTTTTTTTGGAATTATGCATGGGAAAATCCTTATACATTAAATTAAATCATTATATGTTGGGTTTCTGGTGTTAACTTATTTTGGTTTTGCAACACCATGAAATATCAACTATTATTAATTCCCAACCATAAGTTCTTAAATTTTGACTATTTGGAAAATTTACACATTAAATTGGGGAAAAGAGGTTTCTTTCTTGATTTGGGAATCGAGGCATTTGAATGGCCCCAATTATAGACAATCAAGAGCCCTGGTACACATAAACAAGTATACAGTACCTGATATGAGTGATATTGTACTGGAAAGTTTACTTACTGATAATGAATGTGAACTTTTTGTAATTAAGATCAGTAGGTATATAAATGTACCTATATACATGTCCTTACTTTGATAAGAACAGGCTGGTTGTGTCCTCTTTACAATTTCTTTGCATTTATAATTGTATCTTATACAGACAGGGATTAATTTTGATGGAAATATAAAATTTTAAAACTGAAACAATTCATTAATAAACTGCATTTATAGATGTGTTAGTTTACCTTTTTGCAAATAAATAAGTTGGATCTTGTAGTTGTAGGAAGTCACCAAAATAAACTCTCAAAGATTTAAGATTAATTAATATGCAGTAAAATTAATAATTATAGTAAATAGGAATAAATAATAACTTATTATTCTTAAAAACCAAGTCTTTATCATGGGTCATAATGAAGAATGCTTTATCATGGGTGTGTTCTGCAAAGGTTTTGACCACAAAATTTCATGTTATTTGACATTTTAAGAGATGAATTATTTTTTTTTATACAATATATATATTACCTAATATAAGCAAGTTAATACTACATGTAACAGGTTTTCTATACTCCCTCACTGCTGCAAGGAGATACTCACTGGGCAGGTACAAAACCTGTGACTTGCTGTGATGGTTTATAATGCAGAACTATGGTTTTATTATTATTTTTTTAAATTTACTTTAGTTCAGCAGTACAGGCCCCACCCCTGCTCCCAGGAGTAATGTTGGGGGACCCATTCCAGATGACAAAGTGCTACAGAAAATAGCTGTGAAGATTCATAATAAAGACTGGGTCAGGTTAGCCAACAAACTGGACTTTGAATTTGAAGACATTGAAGAATTCCAATCCAGGAGCAATGATCAACGCCAGCAGGTGAGATAAATTGCAGATTTTCTTTTTGAAAAGAAAAAAAAATGAAAATTATAAATAAAAAGTTTATAAGGCCCTGTATTTTTATTTTACTTAAAAGAATTTATAGTTCTGAAAATAGTAAGAGTGTAAGATTGTTGGGGAAAATAAATATGATGAAATAAAATGAATGTTTCTGATATACATGTACTGAGTACGTTAAACTGTTATGTGTACTGTTTTTAGCTTTAATTTGCCTTGTGTGGCAATCAGACTTTATGCTATATTATATTTTAGGATCCAAGTGACAAGGTCAATGTTTAGAAAATTTGATATCAGTGATTTTGATATTTTTTATCTTTGGCCACTAATGTCTAATGATTGTATATTAACATATTGACATGGAGATAAAGATTTACCATTTTTCTTCTCTGACCATTTTGAATAATGTATGTGCTTCAAGCAACCAAAGCTTCAAAAACAATACACTAACTGATAATATCAATCAAGTGAAGTTAGAATAAACAGAAGCTGTTTGGATTGGGATGTACATATACTTGATTCACTATAGGTTAATGATAAAATAAGTATCAACATCTATATTAGTCACCTTTACTAGCTATAGTATTGGGGTATCTGTTTTGGCTGGCTTGCAAGCACGTACACCTGAAGGGCCACATGACTAAAGAAAGCTTAATGTATAATTAAAGCTGGGGAGGATTAAAGAAAAAATATAAAGAGATTTAATTTTAAATTTATTAAAAATCTTGCTTAACAGTAAGATAATTAAGCTACTAATAAGGCTGCATTAATGAATTAGAAATTGCCAGGTGCTACATTATTTTAATAAATAAAAGGTTTGAAGCTAATTTGTATGTGTGAATATAAAAAAAAAAATTAAGGTACAGTTTATCCTCTTGTTTTGATTTGTGTTACATGAATCAAAGTTTGTTTTTCAGAACCAAAGTGACAAGGTTAAAACATGCATGTGTTTAGTTGTTAGATCTTAGGCATTAGTCAGACTATTTCATTCATATCTTATTTCATTCTTCCCTTCTCAATCTATATATATAAGTAAACTTATTTAGACAGCATAGGCTAGGTTGGTGAGAAATTGGTTTGAAACTGTACGTTGTACGTCATGCATGCTCCACATACATCTTCAAACTCCCAAGCAGGTTTTGGAATCTTTATTAAACTTTGAAAAGTAGCAATTTCAAAGGAATAAAAAATGACCAGCTCGTTTATTGATGGAGGACACAATAATGAAACTGGACTTAGGTGGCTGGTTCTCTTTCTATTTTGATCACCATCACACAAGTTTTTGGGCCACAATTCCTTTCCAAATAATATGCAATTATAAATTCTAGGGTAAAACATTTAACAAAGATTGTTCTGATTTTAGGTCCAATATCCAATCAAGTAACTGTACTGACTACTTTAATTATGCTCCACCATTCTTGATCATTAGTATGTTGATAAGGCATAAAGAGATCATTTAGTTTTCATTATTTAAACTTTTTTTCCATACACATACATGTACCAGTATCATCTATTATATATAGGATGAGATGGACTGATTGATATTATCTTTTAATAATTTAATTTTAGTTGTAACACGTCATTTGATTGGATAAAAGATTTTGTTTATATCGTATAACATAAGTTGCCTACATCACAATCATTCGGCAAACCTCGGCTGATTCCGTCACAAGTTCATCAAACGTTTGATTGAGGTAAGAATCGGCTGAGGTGTGCCAAGTGACATCACAATGAGTTACGTCAAAATTAACGTATTACTCCGCTTGACGTTACTTTTAAAATATGCTCAATTTGAAGCCATTTCTGGAGGAAAAATTGTCTTATTGACTACACTGAAATTAAATTATAAGGAATGAAGCTTATTTTAACATATGTTATACGATATAACATAACTTGGGGCAGTTTACGCTTTTTTTTATAAACCGCTTCGCTAAGCTTCATTCCTTAAAAATCATAATATAAGTGGAATGAAGCAATTAAACTTTACTAAATAATGTTTCTTTGATAGTTTTATTATGAGAAATTATCAGGTCCAATATTGGACAGCTTAATGGCTATTCTTGTCAATTTTTACAAATTTCAGTCTGGATCTAAGGGATGAAAGAGGAAATGCTCCATTATGTATCCATTAATTCATTTCTAGCCGCACCTCAACAAAGGAGAGCTTAATGTTATACCCTCGATATTGACTTCAGTGTCCCAAGTTTTTTGAGTGGTTTTCTCTCCAAGTATTTTTATGCCCTACATTGATCCTTAGTAGCATGGATGATGCATTTAACACTTAATTTGTTTCATTATACCATCAGGTTTCAGTTACTGCATTTTCAGCCATTAATATTATTTTCCATAAAGAAGACCACATTATGTTTTTTGAAGGTAAATTAACTTTATGGAGCAGGTCTCATTCCCAAGTAATTTATGCTAAGTCCTACCTGGATCAAACATGCAGGGATGAAGCATCTAGAGATGCACAATATCAGACTTACTTCAGATTTGACCTACATTTTCAGATGAATGACCAGGTTAAAGTTTTTGGAGCATTTTCATTCTAAAGTAACAATAATTAAACCCTATGATCAAGCTTGTTGCATCTAGGACACACTACCATACATATTTTGGATGTTGGATCTGACCTATATTTTCCAGATGAGTGAACAGGTTAAAGTTTTTGGAACAGCCCTTTGCTGACCAAAATTGCATTGGATGATGCATCTAGGGGTACACACTACCAGGCTTGCTTCAGATGCTGAATCTGACATTTTCCAGATGATTGATTAGAAAAGGTGTTTGAGTCCAATTCCCAAGTAACTAAAAAAATCCAAGACCATGCAAACTTGCATAAATGTTGCATTTAGAGAAATGCACACTACAAGAACATTTGTTAGGTGTAAGACTTTGGCACTTAAGGAGGTTGGATCCTGCCATCAAAAGTAATGAGAATTTTTTATCAAGTATATTTTTAGAATTTATACACATAGCTTAATTAAAAATCAGAACAAAAAATGGGGGTCAATGCGCGTCTTTTGGCGCTACAGAGCATCTAGTTTGACCTTTTTGCACTGTAAATATGTCTTACACATAAATCAATTTTTAAAGTTTTTCCTCCAATATTTTTTATTCAAATAAATTATGGGAACAAACACAGTCTTATTTCATCTAGAATGGACTCATTAAAATTTGTGACAACGAAAAATTTTTTTTGAAATTACTCCGCATGTTTAATTATTTGACCTTTTTGCACTCAAAAAATTTCATTTTTCTGGCATTAAAAATTCAACAAGCAAAAATATCATTTGAAAGTAATGACATTTTACTGAATTTAAGAAGAATGGTTAAAAGTAACTTATATATTCAGAAAATAAAATAAAAAGTGGGGGTCTGTGATGTTAATTTTTAGATATTACTAAAATAGTGCTAATTTTAAGCTTAAAATAGGGATATTTTTTTCTTGATTTTCACAATATATTTGCTATATTTATCATATATGATGATAGAATTTATGACAGTTTATTTAATATATAATTTAGGACCAGTATAAAACAGTTCACTGCACAAAATAACTCTGTGTGCAGACTGTATGTAAAAATAGGAATCCAAACTTAACATACTTTAAATACTTCGAAAGAGAAAAAATGACCATTTTCTTCTAAAAAACATTCCGCCACAAAATATAGTTCCTCACTTAATGCTTTTGGTATGGAATTTAATAATGGAGTTTTAAATGAATATAGTTTAATTGGCATTGTAAAATCCAAAATTATTGTAATAATTAAAAATTTATGCAGAATTTTTGAAATATAGGTTAAGATATAAATCTGCTCGAAAGCTCAGGAGCGAACCTCGTTAAAGATAACATTTATTGAGGTGAGGGATTTGTAATATTTAATAACCAATGTTTATCTTTATTTGTACAGTTTAGAAAGTAATTCAAAGTAGATTCTTACATATGATTGTTTGCCTTCAGTAACTTTGGAGCCTATTAAAAAATTAGAGTGGATGAACATATTGATACACTTTTGGTTGAAAACAGCTCACTTTGCTATTGCTCAATATATACACATGTACCAGGTACCAGTTGCAAGCCTCTAATGGGAAACTTGCATGCTGATGATAGCTAGTCTTAAAAATCTTTAAAGCCATGTGGCTTAAGTACCGGGGTAAGCCCATTTCAGGATTCATGTAATGTGATTAGAATCAATATTCTCTCATACTTTTCAAGAATACTAGTAATACATCATTTATTATTCTCTTAGCATACTCAAATTTTAAACTTTTTTCACATGTTGAAGAATTTAAACTTTTAAAATATTTGGATTTTTTGAGCATTGTTTTGATACATTTCAGGTTTACGCTATGTTGAAGACGTGGAAGAATCGTGAGGGAAGCCAGGCCACATCATCAGTTCTGGCTCAGGCTCTCCGAGATTGTCGAATGAATGATGCTGCTGCATTACTTTGAAAACTGACAGTCTTCTTACACAACAGTTAAACTTTTACACATATTTCATGACCAGTGATGTGCTCTGAACTTTGTTCATGAATATTTGCAAAAGGAATTGTATACCGTCCATATTTTAAATCCACCATGGGTTTAGAAAATAAATCAGATGTAAAATATGCATATTTTATCTCCTTTTGTTGTCTTTGACAGATCATTATATCCTACCAGGATTAGAGCTTAGTTTGATTCCACCAGATCAATTTCACCCAATTTCAAATCTTATGAAATATGAATTCAACAGCTGACATAAGTGAAAAAAAAAAACTTTTTTGAAATAAAAAATTTATTTCTAATTTTTTGAAAACAAAAAGAAACAAAATAATAACACAAATGACAGAAATTTCTGTAATAGTCAGGCACTATTGCAGGTTTACATAGAGATTTAATGAACACCAGCTGCTTATAATGCATAAAAGAAAGGCTTCATTTTCTAGAAGTAAAAATACACATTCATTAATTCAGAGCCCATCCAGAGCCTATTTAACCCATAACATTGATAAAACTCTCTGATAAACTTGATCATATAATCCACATACAAGTCTTTGTAAAATGCAAGTACTTGGTTAATATTGTTATATATCTAGGAATCCTTATAAACATTTATTTGGTGTCGGTATAATTATACAAATACAGTATAAAAAAAAATATAGGATATCATATAGGAGGTGGGTATAAATTATAAAATATTTAGCACGATGAACTGTATGGAGAATTTTAGCTATTCTCGATACAATGTGTAATTTATCATGAACAAACTTTCAAAATTTCATCTTGGAGTGAAAAAAAAAAATTCCACATTTGTCCGAAGGTGCTTAAAAATTGTCATCTTTGAGTAAAAACTTGCACATTTATAAAAAGGTGCTATCATTTACAAAAAAATAACACTAAATAATAATATTCTTAATTATATATTATTACATGGGTTATTATTATTGTTGGTAAATAAAATCTTGAACCTCTTGCTTAAGCATTCAACTACATGTAACATTCATCTAACATACATGTGTTTGCCATATGTTCTGGGAGTTTTAAAACAAGGCCATATAGACCCGTTCATGCTACAGATTTCATACCTGCTGAATACCTGCAGTCATGCAGGTTAAATGTGCAATAAAAGGACAGAAGGAAAGGTGTTTTAAACTCAGAGGATTGGATATAACTAGGTAAAAAAAAAATGAATTCCTTTTGCTACAATATTGCCACAAATAACTGGACTTGAACAATTAAGCATACCCATGAAATGAGACTGTATTATTGCAATATACCAGTGCTAAAACATAACCACACCAGACAGCAACATTTGCATAAATTTGCTAGCATGTTATATTCTTGGAGATGCAGCCTCATTACAGCAAATTCTATTCCTAAAATTACTATAATTATATGCCTTAATGTTCCTAAATACACATGCATAAAATTTTGGGAAGGTAAAATTTAAAAATCTCATTTAAAAACAAAATTCTGATTGGTCAGAAATATATGACCCATCTTTTTTATAGCAATTTTGGTTATCGTTCTTGACTTCCATATAGGTAAGTGGTCAAGCTCTAAAAAAATCTATCTGATTTTTGCATTTTAAAATATCTACAAAGCCATCCCCCCTTAATGGAATTGATAAGAAACATTGAGCAAGCATTGAATAGGTTTGTAGAAATAATTTTCTATAGAAAACTACCTTTGTGAGCACATTTATAATACTGTCTACACATTAAAAAAAACCCAAACATTCATATTGAATGAAGTAAATTTAAGATTTGAGATCTAAAAGAACTTGGTGTAATCACTTAAACACATATTTTCACAGAAATAAAGAGGTTGTGAGGAGAGAAAAAAAAGTTACTTAATATAAAATCAATTTGACTACAACCTAAGTTCATAAAAAGCTGAATTACAAACAAATTCACAACATTCATCTCTACACAAAAGATACACTGGATTCTACTGTGTCAGTGTTAAATGGATTATTATCAAATGTTCTAATGATATTTTTTTAAATGCTTGGATATCTTTTATTAGAATATGTTTTCTGTAAATAAGTATAATATCCAAGGTTTGAGGAATATATACATTTCAGTTATTTTTAAATTGGGGATATTTGCTTCAATATGATCAGGAATTAAAAGATTTAAAGCTTTTTTTTTTAGTTCAGGTTTTTGAAAAAAAATTCTATTTCCATTTAACTGCAACATTTTGAGATTTCAACACAGATGGCAAGAAAAAGTAACAAAACTTAAGTTTTACATAACGACAAAGGCAGACACACGTACATATAATGATAGTCGCTCTATAGACATACAATTATTCAATTACAATGTATTGTGTCGCAAAATAAAGGTTAATCGTATAAAGGAATTAAGTTTTTGACCCATTCTGGGAGAAATGTTCCATTTTTCATTCATGTACCTCTGCTAAAGGGTAAACAGTACTGGTACCACTAATTAGGTCTATGTGTAAAGTAACATTAACTCTGAAAGCTCTATCTCTTAAAGCTGTTTGGAGATTTTAAAAAAAAAATTATCAATAAATAACACAAAACTTTCTAACTGTCTAATTAAAAAAAATATATATAAAAGAAATTCAAAATACTACTCACTACACATTATCAAAATTTGGTATTTTTCTTGTCTTGACAAGTCATACAAACAAACAAGTATCAACATAATGAGCTAGAATTCTAAACAACAACTTTCAATACTCCTTTTTCTGACAAGAAGAGCTCAAAGTTTCATTTCTAGTATGCTTTAACTTGATTAACAAAAACACATACATGTAAGTGTATCACATGTTGCATCTAAAGTAGGAGCAGCACAACTTAAAGCATTATTTAATGCTATTCACTAACTACAAGTAATATCAAGGTACATTGTTAATGTTGTAACCACATAATTTACCCTCGGTATCCTTAAATAAATAAAACTTTAAATATGTTACACTGTATTTTACACTAAATACTAAAATTAAAATATACTTAACTATGTGTTCATTTTGCTTTTGAAACTATAAACTGAATTCAAAATAATAAGGAATATTTTAGGAAACCAATAATGTATCTGTTCATGTTTCTTGATATACATGTATGGTACATATAAGTAAAGCCTTTAAAAAAATATTTCGTTAAATACCAAAGTTTTGGCAAGGTGCTGATCTTAAGTAAAACATTGTAATAATTTACTCTATTTAAATCCAAGAAATTCTACCCCTCGACCACAACCTGCTAACAGATTTTACATCCATGATTAGATAAGATACATATTAATTTCTATGACAACTGCTCTTTCCAGTTAGGTGTTTCTTATTGCTGTTCTCTGTTTTGATTGGCTGCTAATTTTACACTTGGTCACACTGCTGCTGAGGATTGTCTTTTATGACCAGATTTCTGAAAAACAGAAATTAAGAACTAACAATATATTTGCTCAATATTCACCAATGAAAAGATGGATCAAATTATACTTGTATATTAATCAAATGACCAATGGAAACTTTGAACTGTCTACTAAAGTATGACTATCAAAGCAGAATTTCTTGTTGATACCGAAAGTAATTCATGAACTCTGGCAACATAGAAAATATAAAAATAATCATAAAGAATAAAAATGGCATATTTTTAACATGTTATATGGTAAATTTAAGTGAAATCTGCATAAATCAATTCCATAACCACAACTTGTATATATACTGCACAATAGGTATCTCAATAGGTATCTGATTGTCAATTTTGTCTTTATGTGACCTTGACTAAATGGCTAAATTGCCTGTGTCAGGGTCAAAATAAACACTCTTATCCAAAGCAACCTTGTCTAGAATACATGTATTAGTTCTGGTGATTCTTTGGAACAAAGGTATCATCTACACATACTTGTAATTTGCAAAGATTTGTGGAAATTTTTACAAACATTATATTCCCCCCAAAAATTCATTTGATAGGGTAAAATAGGAACTTTTGAAGAAAAAATATGTCAGCATATTACATCGTTTTTGAACAACAATTCATGTAACCAGGATGCAATTTTATTGGAAATATATTACACATGCATTAATACATGTATATCACAAAGTATTAAAAAAAATATAATAAAGGCCAATACAGTGTATATGTAACTGAGTCAGATCAAATACATTTAGAAAATTACCAATGATAGTACAGGTATTTAAAATCAGATTTAAAAAAAGAACTCATACTAGATATGTGTTTGGGAAATATAATAATCACTGGTAACAGATTCAGCACGTTGCCAATTCATAGTTGACCTTTGTACACTATTCAATATGACCTTGACTGTAGCATTGGCCTTGATCCTCATCTTGGTCTATATCTCAAAGAGGTTTATAGATATTGCCAATTGATGGCAAGATTATTTCACTCAGATGAGACATCATCACATGCCAGTGAAGGGCTTCAAATTTAGACCTTGACTTGCACTCAGGGTCAATGAGCAGCGAGGAATCTTATCATGCCAATGTCTGCAGTGAACGAGCCCTGGTTTTTAAGGTCTCATCTGAAGGACCTGTTACTTTCACTTCAGAGTGCCAAGCACTTGGGAAAGGAATAGTTGCTACCTATTTTTTTTTTTAATCAAAATGGGTTTGTTGTGGCCAGGACTTGAAAACCCACAACCTTCTGATCTCTAAAAAATGAGCTACCATGAAAGTTAATAGGTACTGCCAATAATATAGCTTACAATGGACAGGATCCCTCCCCCCAAAAAAAGAAATCCCCCCAAAAGAATTTTTTTGGTTTATAATTCTTCAAAGATGTGTAATAATGCACTTGCTTATTATATACTTTGGGTGTAAATGAAAAACATTATGAAGCAGAAAAGCATTTTGATTATGTGTGTGTGTTATGATCCTGGAGAATAGAACTGGTAGACAAATATATTGTAAATACATGACAAGTGTAAAGTATGTATTAAGTATGATCAGAGGATAAGAAGTTTCTTCTTCTTCCCTTTGCCAGAAACCTTATCAATGACTTCCAGAACCTTCCTCCAAATAATCATGTCCACAATTTGCTTCCCATCTGTGCTCAGAGGTAATGCTGTGGTGTATAATACTGTTGCACATGTATTTGCATGTGGCACTTGAAATACATATATATAGATTGTAGCGCATTCTCAAAAATTCTGCAGTGATATGTTAATTTGATCATCTCATGCATGATTACATGTATATATATATATATATATAAACATACTTGGGTACATTTCAAGGACTCTGATAAAGCAAAAATATCACACTTGCAAAATCTTTACCTACCATTTTGCCGTAATTCGGAATGAAGCTTTACTATGCAAGTGCTTACTCTGTAGTTAATATGTACACACAATCATTAATACATAGACAGGTGTTAAAAACCCACATCAATCAACACACAAACAGACAAACAAGTACAATTACATACCAGCCGCCAATTAATGAGAGAAATCCAGTCGTTACATTCCTGCTCAGTGGTGGCATACATGTAAAATGTCCGCCATTTAAACACAACTCTGCAATAAGTAAGAGATGTGTACTAATACATTGAAAGGTATTGTATCACATGAAAGTTCTCTCAAGAAGTATATGTAAATGTATGCCAAAAAAAGATGACTTGTACATATTCTTTACCTGGCAGGATAGTTTTCATATAATGAAATGCTCCTTTTACAAAACAAGTGACCACATATACATTTTGTACATTATGAAAGGATCAGATACATGTAGTTTGTATGAAACAATTCAGTCACTTGTCTCTTTTAACAGTAACAACTACTTATCATCAAATTTGTTTTTATTTTTGTGTCTCATTTTGATAAAATAATACCCTTCCAAATTCCTTCTTTTAATAGCAATATATAAGTTTGTATTTCTGTGTACTTATTATCCCTCCATTTGCCTTGACAAAACAAAAGTCTCTAATGAAACTCTAGCTCTCTTTAAGTTTAAAACAATCTTATGTGGGGTGTTGGGTTGGGATGGAGTTTACATTTCTTCATGTTTTTTACTCTGAAAGACAACACTTCCTCCAAGGGGAGCAAGAGTAAAATTGATTTGTTGAAAAATACAGTAAAACTCGGTTATAGTGAAGTTCTTGGAATCTGTGGGGATTTATTTTGCTATATCCATTATTCATTACACTAATAATTAGTAATAACAGTTTTAAAGTATATACTGTAACTATGTACCGGTACATAAAAAAAATGAGAAACGTGTCTTGATTTAGTCTCCTTGTTTCAAGCCTTACTGAATTTTTACAAGTAAAAGTTGTATTTTCCAGAATTATTGACAGGCAGACATGTCACCAATGTGTAAACTCATCAGGGGTGTGTAAAAAAAATGTGCCTGTATTTAGAGTTTTGATATTTAACAATATGCTAGCCTAGTTGCTACATGGGGAAAGCTAGCATATTCTTTATGCAAGGTACGTGTACCAAATCAAAGATGGTGACCTTCATTATCACTGAACCAGAGTTTTATATAACTGGTGTTTCCTTCTCAATCTCAAGAAATTTTAAATATGTTTATTTACCCATACTTTTTTGCCTGACTCAGCATAAATTTGTTCTAGAAATAAATGATTGCTGAAAAATTTGCATCCAAAATCTGACATCTTATTGTTAGTATAGAACTCAAAAGATCTAGATGTCTATAACCCCTAGTGGCTATACTAGCTACCACAATCTTAAAAAGCAGTCCTTGTTTCTGACCACAGGAGTTAGCATACCTATCAATTTTACCAAATTTTTAGCGAATAAAAAAATATGCAATACCTATAATTATTATAAGTATTACGAATTTTTTTTATTTACTAAAAATTTCGGTAAAATTGATAGGTATGCGGACTCCTGTGCTCTGCCCAATAGGGCTTCAAAGGGGGGGGGGGATGAGACAATTTTTTTTCTCATTTTTTCCTTATAATGCAGCAGATGCTGAAGCACTATCTCACCTGAAAACATTGAACTTTCCCTTATGAGAGCTGTCTCTTTGGCATTCAGAACACTCGTCTAGATTTAATGCCCTGATTGGAGTTCTGTCTGTTTTATTTTTGTAATATCGTAGCTCGTTTTTCTGTAGGACAAACCATCTCGTCCTCCACGTCTGCAAAAGTCACACAAACAATATATGCATCCTAGGTGTAATTGTTACAGGTACAACTTTCTTTTTTCATACTGTACACTACTTAATATTACTTTAAAAATATAAATGCCTTTGTAAATACATGTATGTTAATTTGATATTTATCATTTTTTAAATTGACTCCTGCTGAAAATTGTAAATTTTTCAAAATTAAAAAACACCACCTTAAATGTGGATCCAAGTTTTGTTAAAAATCCCTCCTTAGAATTAATCTGCAAGGAAATGCATTGAAATCAGGATTCATGTGAAGCATAAATATTTCTTGGATCTCTAACTTTCATTTTTAATCATTACTTTCTTGTATATTGATTACAATAAATTTTTTTCTACATGTAGCATTTTAAAGTCGAATCCCTGATCATAACTTTTAACACTGACATGTACTTGAATAATTTTAGGGAAGATAATTCAACAGCACTAGATTAATTTGTACATTTCTGATGAAATTTTTAATTTACACAGAAGTACCCACTGAGAATTCTGGTCCCCGGGAGAAATCGTCAGCTGTGCTGAACTCCGCATGGACTCGGATTGTATCGTACATGTTAGGTTCATCAATTACTCGAGGGTACGGAAAACTAAGGAGGGTCAACTGACCTATAAATAAAACGCTCATTCTTGAAGAAGTTGTAAACTCTGATAAACCTTCAATAATAGAGGGCCCCATACAAATAAAAATGATTTATAAATAATATACACACTTAACCTACATTGTGCAGTTTAATATTAACTCTAATAAAATATACCTTCACTTATCTCAACAAAAACTTCATTTCTATTCAATATTCAAATTTCTTTCCAAAATTAGCTAAACATCTTTAATGTAAGTGTGCAAGTTTACCATCATGACAAGGCCATTTATTTCATTAATACATGTGCATATCTAATTATATTTAAATATGCATTATTATCATGTATATTATACACAATGTATCTAACATGTATAAAACATATCTAGTTAATGCATTATCAGGTAATCAGCTATTAAAATAATGTTTTGCATGAAAAGTACCTGACTCAGAGCCAATTAGAGGTTTATTCTGAAAGTGGTGTAGTAAATCTTGAACACTATCAAATTCTCCATGCCCAAATTTATAATTCGTACCAGTCCAGGTTAGTGGGTAATGCTTCACAGATGAGTCACACCTTGCAGTATACAAAACAGTCAAATATTACAAAGATGACATAAAATACTGTCTATTAAATATACATGTACTGGAGCACTTGGTGACCCTCCAGCTAAACACTTTAAAATCCAAAGTTGATCTCTTGCCCTCATTGACATGTCATAGCTGTGTCATTTAAAATTGTATCAAACTGATAAAAACTCAGTATTTACATGATTAAGAGGGAAATAGCTGCCCTAGTAAGAACTTGGCCCCAACGTGAAAGTGTTCCTGTCTGCCAGACTTTATTCCGCAAATGTAGATGACAATCACTGATTTACAGAACTTAGTTAAAGGGCACAGTCATTCATATTAAAACTAGTCTACATCCTTAGCGTACACTCATGTACTTGCCAGTCTAGATCCAGGTCAAAATATCCAATGTAAAGTTGAACGAGACCCAAATGTTTGATGCATCATAACTTGAACTTAGTGGTCAATAGTTACCTGACTGAGAGGGCATAATCACCAGGTTTAGAACTGGGTCGCAGTAGGTAAGTCCCGTCCACTCCATTCTGTAACAGTAAACTCTCTGCTGTATGACGGTCACAACCAGGATGAAACCAGCTGTGTAAAAATAAATTTTAATAAATTAATAATATGTTATTTAAAGATGCCATGTCTCTATCATGGATGTTGTTTTCTTTCTTGAAAGTTGTTCATGTTGAGAAATAGCAGAAATGTGAGACAGTAACCATTAAATACAGCGTTATTTTTGTGCAATGATACCTTCATACAATGATTTCAGAATTATGACATCCCTTTTTAAAACGTCAAAACAAATAAAATTCTTATAAAAATTTTCTTTGCTCACCTTAATGTTTCTACCTGTTCACTTGACATTTTGTCAAAATCTTTGACTTCAAATTAACATCCTGGCATTTTACAACCTGACAATGGCTGTCATGAACCAACACATCTGAAAAAGAATAAATTTTTTTTTAGGTTAATGATATTTATCACAGTAAATAATCAGTCTCAATAGGACTGAACATTGGCACGCTTGTAAACACTCCTCTTACTATATATAAGCTCGAGTTTCCTTCTAGTGAATTCAGTATCTTAGATTGAACGAGGAACTTCCTGCTCACTGTTAATTATTGAAAAATAAAAACAAACCTACAGTGACATTATTATGTCGTTATATATGATTCAGAAGTTGGAAAATAAACTTGGAGGATGCTGTGAATCATATTAAACATGTGATTTAATAATGGTTTTCATCAGGTCAAATTGAGGGACCAGTTTAATAATGATTTGGTACATGTCAGTAACATGCAGCTAATAATTAAAACCTATTTTGACAAACACTGTAAAACTCACTAGAACAGCTTGTACTATAGTATGACTTTATCCCAACCTACAATCAAAATTACTTATGTTTATTATTATTTTTTGATATGGGGTGTATTTTATTGCATGTATATAAAAGTGTACTAAGGAAGAATAACGACAAAAAGAGAATTATCAGTGAAATCAAATAAATAAATAATAATCTACAGTATGAGATGCAGGAAGAGATTCAAGGTGTTTCATAATAGAACAATTGATCCAAAATATTGTGTTCGAATTTTTAAGGATAGTCATGGAATTCAATGTGTATTTCATTATAATAATGAATGAACAAAGATCAAAATTCAACACTGCAGACAAAAAGGAAATCAGTTTATCTCGAATTGATATATTTTTTGAAGAGGGTGATTATAGTAAGTGGTTCACAACAACAGTTGAATACATCAGCTACACAGAAAACAACAGCTAACTACACCAGCTACACAGAAAAAACAGCAAAACAAGAGACCCAGGGGCAACATTGCTCACCTGAGCACTGTGGCTAGGAAAAAAGAAAAAATCAGTTTAGTACTGAAAAGCTTAAATGCATAACTGGTCCCAACCTACCCCTAAAAGGGAGTGGGGGGGGGGGGTATGATTTGAACAAAATTTAATCTACACTTACTAATGATGCTTATATAATTTTTTTACTAACTGTGACATTTTTCTCTACAAGTTTGAACTTTCATTGTGGCCCCATTCTACCCCTGGTGGTCATGATTTGAACAAACTTGAATCTACACCATCTGAGGATGCTTCCATATAAATATGACAAACAGTGGCTTTGCTGTTCTTGAGAAAGATTTTTAAAGATTTTTCCTATATATTCCTATGTAAAACTTGGATCTTTCATTGTGGCCCCATCTTACCCCTGGGGGTCATGATTTGAACAAACTTGAATCTACATCATCTGAGGATGCTTCCACATAAATATGACCAATCATAGCTTTGCTGTTCTTGAGAAAGATTTTTAAAGATTTTTCCTATAAACACCTATGTTAAACTTTGATCGTCCATTGTGGCCCCACCCTACTCCTGGGGGTCATGATTTAAACAAGCTTGAATCTACATCATCTGAGGATGCTTCCACATAAATATGACCAATCATAGCTTTGCTGTTCTTGAGAAGAAGAGTTTTGAAGATTTTTCCTATATATTTCTATGTAAAACTTTGATCATTCATTGTGGCCCCACCCTACCCCCGGGGGTTATGATTTGAACAAACTTGAATCTACACCCCTGACAATAATTCCACATGAGTTTCATCTTTCCTGGCCCATTGGTTCTTGAGGAGAAGATTTTTCAATAATGCCATTAATTTTTTGCTATTTCGTAATTATCTCCCCTTGGAGGAGGGCGTGGCCCTTCATTTGAACAAATTTGAATCCCCCTTACCCAAGGATACTTTGTGCCATGTTTGATTGAAATTGGCCCAGTAGTTCTGGAGAAGAAGATGAAAATGTGAAAAGTTTACGACAACGCCAATGGACAAATTTCGATCAGAAAAGCTCACTTGAGCCTTCGGCTCAGGTGAGCTAAAAAACCCAATCCACACTCTTATAGTATCAATAAATTATTGTCCCCCCTCTCATGAAATCTCATTTGTCTGTCAGTCTGTCTGTCAAAAAAACTTTCACCTTGGTCATACCTTTTGAATGAGAAAAGATTTCACCTGTACATTACCAGTGACAAGACCTTTTCAAATGTTCTAGGATTTTTGACCCTATGATCTTGACTTTGAAGTCAATATTGACCTAATATTCAATTTTGAACATCGGTGATAACTTTTGAACGAGAGAAGATAAGGTGTTCACATTTGACAAGTGCATAAAATACTCGTTATATAAACTTATACAAGTTTACTGTGGTTTTTGACTTAATGACACTGACCTAGAAGTTTGACTTACTTACTATCTAAAATTTTAACTTAGTCCATACATGTAACTTTTGATCTGGAAGACAGGGATTTCATATTTTTTTTAACAAGATGAAGTGCATTACTTGTGACAAACCTTTTGGAATGTATTATGATATTTGACCTTATGACCTTGATCTTGAAGTTTGATGCAGTTTTAAGAAACTTCAATTTTGTCTGTAACTTTTTTAATTCAAGAATTTAAATCTTTTTGTATGATGGACAGACAAGACAGGGCACAAAGACAAGACAATATGTCATGAATAATTGCATCCCAACCAATAAGAAACTTCAAAAAAGAAATATTAAACTTATTTACTATCTAAAACAAACAATCAGTTCAAACTTAAGATCCACCCTTTCTGCCCCCCCCCCCCACTTTTATTCAAAAACATACTGCATTTCTACAAAATCCATTTTGGTTCACTTGGGTAGCCAATTTCAAAAATACTCTTTCATAAAATTAATGAATACAATAGAAAGTTTCCAGACACGTTGTTCCATAAACAGGTACATTTTATATTTTGATAAATGTACTCTTCACTTTTATGTATTTTGAATTAATGAGTGGACTTAAAATTCACTTCATGATTATAATAAACAATGTAAAACAATTTAATATATGCTTAAAGAGAATTTTTATGAAATGCTGTGACAAGGGGAATAACTCTCGCATATTGAGCATTGTAAGCATATGATTTTATATCATTATACAGTATATTTAAATAATTAAGTCATCCTGTTTTTCATCAATTTTCTGGTATTTATTTATATATATACAGGGTGATTTTTTCATTCTCATCTTCAAATTCCTTTGTATGTAAAAACCACTAAAATACCAATGAACCAGCAGGTATCTTCATTATTCATGTATACTACAGATCCCCTATTACAACAATACTTGATAGCCTAGGAAGGATTTCAAATTGCAAAAGGTGATCTAAGGGCCATATCCCCAAAATTTCACCAACTTTTGATTATTGACCTCTTTAATTTGCATATCTTGCTTTTGTTAATCTATTTTTAGGTTTTTAAATTTTACAAATCATACACCCATATACATTTATAAAAGAAATGATATAATAAACTAAACTTTAGAAGAGAAGACTATCTAGTAAGTTATAGAACTTGTGTCCTATCTTTTTGACTTTGTCAATAAAATAAGTTCAATTCAATAATTTTTTAAAAATATATGATAAATAGAATGCTAATAACTAAAACTGTATCATATATAATCAGCCCTTGGGCTGACATGGGGCAACTAAGGCTAATATAACATATGACATGGACTTTAGTAGGTATGTAATATATTCTCTATACAGTTTTTGTATGATGTATTTCCCTTTCGAGTTATTTCTCTCGGACAGTGTCTTGGAGGTCAAACTAGTGAATATTCCTCTAAGCAACCAATTTTAAACATGTATGACAGAAACTTAAGGCCAAAAATCTTAAAACTTCATACTATGGTTCATTTCTTTAGGAAATGGTAGTAGAATGAAGTATTTGAAGCAGACTATAACTGGAACTCTTCAGCATCAGAGGTTTAAACGAATAGCTTATTGCTATGAAAAATCAACAGCTTTATATTTTGATGAATTTAAACCTTTTAGAGGTAAGAAACAAAAGTTTTATGGAGATAGGGAATTAAAAGGATATCCAAAGCAAAAAGTTGAAGCGGACAGCTAATTCATTTTCGCCCGTATAAATTGAAACAAGCGGTCAAAGTCCGGGCACGAAACCCCGAATGAGATTATGTGACACTGGTCTGAGATCCGTAGAGACACCAGACCAAAATTTTTAGTCTCTACAGATCTCGCTGAGATTATGGGAAATAGCTTTTAAATGACGGAAAAATCCAGCACAACATTAAACCTTGAAATTATCTCCCTTTATTTTTATCAGGTGTTCTAAGTCAAGTAAACTGTTATACATTCATTTAAACATCAATTATCACTAACCTATTACTTTAAAAAAAAATAAAAGACGTAAAATTTCATAGATTTCATAGGTTGTTGTACACGTTATTTTATGGATAAAACTGCTGACTCCTATGAATGATCACACATTTAAAAAGTTTAAGGTTCAAGGTGTTATACGTGTATTATGAAAAGAAATAAACTGAAACAGCTATTATTATGTCAGTATAAGCACAGAGTTTCTAATCATACTTATTTTGAGCCTGTAACGTGATCACTGATATTCTTTTTAATCGATCATGAATTTTTCCTGCAAACAGAAGCTTAAAACGTGCTAAAATGTATAAATAAAATGCAAACGTAATCATGAAAATTCTAATGGATTAAAAGTAATGAACATAGACGAATATAAAACTCACATAAAGCAAGAATTTCTTGTCAGGCTTTGTTCATTCTCATGATTCTGCCCAAGTTCGGAAACCGGAAGTTTACATCATCCTGTGAATTCGAACCCGAAGTAATAAGACAGCTGCCCAAATTACCTAAAAAAAATTAATAGGAGGGAAGTATGGGTTTGTGATGTTAAAATAATAGTAGCATGTCTCATTACCCTGTGAATTCAAACCAAAGGGAAAAAAAAGCTTAAGAAAGTTACCCAGAAATAGGAGGAAAGTGGGGGGGGGGGGGTTAAGAATCAAACAGTGTGTGTGTGTGTTTGACCCCATTTTTACTGAAGTTGGGAAATATTAATTTGGGTGTCCACCCATCTGTCTGAGTGTAACACTTGTTTCCAGATGATATCTCAAAAAGCATTTGAACTCTACTAGCCATTGCCTATAGAAGACCCCTAAAGATTTTGAGGTCAAAAAGTCAAGGCCAGAAATTCATACATTATGTCTGTATGCAATACACTTCCTGGACAATATCTCAAGAAGCCTTTGAGCTTTTGCAATAAAATTTTATATAACAACTCAATCCTATGACCGTAAGAAGACCCCTGTCTGTTTTGAGGTCAAAAGGTCCAGGGTCAAGGTTAGAAATTCAAACATTCCATCTGTGTGTAACGCTTTCATTATCAGACAAAATCTCAAAAAGGCTTTGAGATTTTGCACTGAAATTTTATATAACAACTTCCAGTCTGACTAAAATCAAACCTTCACTAGCTCCTTTTTATTTTGATTGTCGCGTGACAATCAAAATAAAAAGGAGCTAGTGAAGGTTTGATTTTAATCAGACAGAACAACTCCCTATGGCTAAAAGATGACCTCTATCAATTTTGAGTTCAAAAAAGGTCCAAGGTCAGAAACTCATACATTCTTTCTGTTTGTATCAATTTTCACTTCCAGACAATATCTCAAAAGCTTTTGTAATAATATTTTATATCACAACTTCCCATGGCCTAAAATATTTTGTGGTCAAAAGGTCAAGGCCACTCTTTAGAAATCCTCTTCAGTGGTATGAATATCCAATTCAATCTATAGATCAACTTCAGCTAGATGTTCAAAAAATTTTAAAATCCAGAGGGACCTTGACCTTTGAGGTATGTCAAGTTACCATGGCTACAAAACCTTGAATTAAAACTATACGAGATTTTGATTCATGCATATAGATATAAATTTTATGAATCTTAGAATGACCTTGACAGGAATTTCCTTGACCTTTTGTAAAGCTATTATGTTCCAAAAATCAAGAAAATTAATATGTTAGACCTGTAGAAGTTAAAATCAAAACCCCAGAATATAAATCATAATTTACAGGGGAAATTGATCTATAAATCCTTTCTAAATAAAACTACCAAATAAAGTGATTTTATAATGGTTGTTTATTCAAATAATGAAGGATCATGTAAAGCATTTATGTTGACAGATACTACAACAAATTCATAAAATAAGGAACTTTGAGATACTTATAGAAATAATTAATTGGGATGCTTTAAATATGTTTGCACAGTAAAAGTGCATGGCCCAGAGTACATAAGACATTAAACAATATGTATATCAAATTCATTTGTACATTTAATATCATGTTTATAATATTTTGATTAATTTAATTAATACTTGTAATTTATGGTTGTACACATGACATAAAATAACATAAAAATGCTGATAAAGTAAAATCAAAGACTTTTTTTGTTACCAACAACCTCAGGATAAATTCCATTAAAATGTCGAAGTGGCTTTCATGAACTAATGATATTTTTTTTATCATCTTTAAACTCACCCTCCTTCCATGAAAAAAATGGGAAGGGAAAGTTAAGTTCATACAAGTTATTTATGAACTGAAATTAGAATGTTTGTAGTAATTGAGTCTAATAAGGTTGCTATCTCATTCACAACTTGTTTTATGATGATAAGAAAATCATATGAACAACTAGAGCAAAGCTTGTTGCAAAGCAACGGGTAGGTCTTCTGATGGACGATGGATGTCAAAAGTAATGTATTATGAGTTTTGATCCCAATAATGATAAAATTTAGCCAAATTTCTGAAAATTGCACCAAAAAAAATCATTTTTTCAACAACTTCGAGTCTAGATTTGGACTTTAAGTCAGTCGTTCGAATGTCATTTCTGGTAGAGGTCAAAATTCACTAGGCCAGATAAAACCTTCAAATTCAATTACAAATCATTTTATACTTATTCTATTGATTTAAGAGAAAAGGCTCCATTTTTTATTTTTACAAGGAGATAAACATTGTATGGCTTAGAGAACAACAACAACAAAAGAAAACAAGAGGCCCATGGGCCACAATGCTCACCTGAGTTACTTTAGCCATGCTGTTCTTCAGAAGATTTTAAAACATTTTTATAGTCCCTTGAAAAATTGTGACTCCATATTATAGCCCCACCATAACTCTAAGGGTTTCTGAATCCACACAGCATGGGGATGCTTCATTATCAATATGACTAACATGGACCTTGCAATTATGGAGAAGAAAATTCTTTTCCTGTATACATGCATTACATGTATGTACAGCTTGATCCTGATTTTATCTAACCCAGGGTCCATAATTAAAAGAAAAAATTAAATTCACACAAAATAGGAATGTTTGCAAATTAATGATTCTATTGTGTTTATTTTGAAGATTTTTAAAAAAAAATCTTATGTAGTTCCATGCAAAACTTTGATCCCCTATTGTGGCCCCACTCTACCCCTGGGGGCCAGCCATGGGTTTGGTTAAAATTGGCCCAGTGGTTCTTGATAAAAAGTCCAAAAAGTTTATAGACAGATGGATGGACAGACAGTCAGTTTGACAGATGCTGGACACCCATCAACGGGTGAAACAGAAGAGCTCACTTGAGCTTTGAGCTTAGATGAACAAAACAAAACAACAAATAACAAGAGAGAGAGAGAGAGAGAAACAAGTACTGCTTGGAGTGGAGATATGTTAATACATGTAAAAGGTATTGCATTTTTTTTAAATAAATCATAGTTTGTATCAGATAAGTGAATATGTTAAATATTTATTTGCTCTTCCTGCTTTTAAGGACTTTTGCCATTTCAATGAAGTGCTTCCCATAGCAAAGCTTTGAATCATTATCTGACACTTTCTAATGTATACATGTACATATGTACATGTTAAATCACTTCATAACAAAGAGGGGACTTCCTCGTGTTAAAAACAAAACATAAAAATGCATAATAACAGACAATAAAACCTGAGCATAATCTCTTTCAATGCGACTAGATCAACATTTTTTGTTGTTAATTACCGGTTGATTTAACAAAACTATTAACATTATCAATATTATTACCAGGTAAAAGAAAATTATAAGTGTTTCTACACATGCTAAAAAATACTGTCATTAAAAATCATAAAACCACAAGATACCACTAGTAACCAGTACAATTTATAACAATACAACAAATCAGGTTGAAACCCCCAACCCTCAATTTCCTCAACACTGTTCAGTAAAAAGGACTTAAATTCTCTTTTACTACACTCCTTGAACATTCTTGTCTCTAATTTTCACAATCTTAAATAAAAGAAACAAATCATTACTTACATTAAAATTCAACAAGTAACTACCAAAAGTAATGTGTTTACAAAAAAACATTTCACCTCACAAAGGAAGTAAATTTCACCAGGGATCTGAAATATTAAAAATCACTTTTTTTTTATTGATTTCCTATAATTAGTGGTAATTTCCCCTAACGTTACTTTCTTTCCTCAATAAGCAGATAAAAAAAGTCACAAAGTTTTGAGAAAAAAAATCAAATGGCATGTTTCTCCTTGGTATATATTAAGTAGAAGACTTCTGAATTAGGAACTCTGTAAACGTGCTGGAATCCCCTCTATAGTGGCCTCTCTTGGTCATCCTTCAGTTCCTCTGGGTCCACATGCTCAAAGTCCTCCTCCCCACTAGAGGAGGTTTCAGTTACATCTGGTTGATCAAGCTTTAGGAATGTCTTTATTTTTTCTGCAATTGCTTCCTGGTCTCTAAAAAAAGTAAGGATCAAGGACGTAAATAAAATTTATAAACTAGGTCACACAAGGCAAAATGTAAAAGATTAAATGGAACACCTTTAATATTTAGGTAATTCATGTATCAGGTAAACCATAATAAAGAGGACTCATTATAATCAAACTATATTTGTATATTGTATGATATTGTTTTGTTTACAGTTTGTTTCTTTAAATGTCCCTTCGAGCATTTTTCACTCATATTGAGACACCACCATTTGCTGGTGGAGGGCTGTAAATTTACTGTACTCAGCACTTATGGTACATGTATTTGAGTAGTGAGGGATCTTTTTCATGCTAGCACCTACTGCAACAGGGGATCAACTCCTTACTCCACGACTCTAGAGCAAACGCTTGAACCACTGCACCAGTTTCGGTTTTGAAGGAATACTCCAAATCAAGATAAACTGTCATTTTCAAAATTAACCTTATTATTAAACCAAAATTCTCAGTTTGGAATGTCATATTTATGCTAGTCTTAATGCACCAGCTGATTCATCATTTTTTATTTACCAAGGTATATAGTTTATAGCCTTATGTGGTTACTCATGCTATCATTAGTGCATATTGGACAAGAGATCTGAATTTGTTTGAATTTACAACAAGAGGCCCATGGACCACAACACTCACCCAAGTCAATATGGCCCTGCTGTTCTTAATCAGCAGATTTTTTTCTATTATATATTCCTATGTAAAACTTTTATCCCTATTGTGACTACACCCTACCCCCCAGTGTCATGATTTTTATAGATGTAGCCCCACCCTACCCCTCAGGGTCATGATTTGAACAAACTTGAATGTACACTACCTCAAGATACTTCCATATCAATGTGACTAAACATGGCTTTGCTGTTCTTGAAAAAAAGATTTTAGAGAATTTTTTCCTATATATCCACATGTTAAACTCTGATAGTCATTGCAGCCCCACCCTACCCCAGGTGGTCATCATTTGAACAAACTTGAATCTACACTACGTGAGAATGTTTCCATATAACATAACTTTGCTGTTCTTGTGAAGAAGATTTTTGAAGATTTTTCATTATATATTCCTATGTAAAACTTTGATCCCTATTGTGGCCCAACCAGAGCCCCATGGGTCATGATTTAAACAAACTTAAATCTACACTACTTGAGGATGTTTCTGTATCAATATGACTAATCATAGCTTTGTTGTTCTTGAGAAGAAGATTTTTAAAGATATTTTCCTATATATTCCTATGTAAAACTTTGATCCCTCATTGTGGCCACACCCTACCCCCAAGGGTGGGTCATGATTTGAACAAACTTGAATCTACACTAGCTAAGGATGCTTCCAATCAATATGACTAATCATGGCTTTGCTGTTCTTGAGAAGATGATTTTTGAAGATTTTATCCTGTCTATTCCTGTGTAAATCTTTGATCCCCTACCCCTTGGGTCATGATTTGAACAAACTTTATTCCACACTACATGAGGATGCTTCCAAATTAATATGACTAATCATGGCTCTGCTGTTCATGAGAAAAAGATTTTTTCATATATATTCCTAATATGTAAAATCTTAATTCCTCATGTGGCCCAACCCTACCCCTGAGGGTCATGATTTGAACAACTTTATTCCACACTACCTGAAGATGCTTCCCTATTAATGTAACAAATCATGGTTTTGCTTTTCTTGAGAAGATGATTTTTAAAGTGTTTTTCCTATATACTCCTATGTAAACTTTGATTCTCCATTGTGGCCCCACCCAATCCCTAGGGGTCATGATTTAAACAAACTTGAATCTACACTACTTCCATATCAAAATGACTAATCATGGCTTTGCTGTTCTTGAGAAGAAGTTTTTTTGAAGATTTTTTCCTTCATATTTCTGTGTAAAACTTTGACCCCCTTTTGACATTTGAAGCTTCACTACCTGAGGATGCTTTCCTATTAATATGACAAATCATGGCTTTGCTTTTCTTGAGATTGATTGTATGTTGTTTTATATCCCATTCAAGATTTTTTTCACTCATATAGAGATGTCACCATATACCGGTGAAGGGCTTCAAATTTAGCCCTTTACTCTGCACTCAGGGCCATTGAGCAGTGAGGGTTCTTTATCATGCTAATGCCTTAACCGTGACACGGGGCCTCGGTTTTTAAGATCCCATCTGAAGGACCTCTTTTCTTAAGAAGAAGATTTTTAAAGATATTTTCCTATATATTCATATTTAAAATTTTGATTCCCATTGTGGCCCCACCCTACCCCCAAGGGTTACGATTTGAACAAACTTGAATCTACACTACCTGACTCAGAGGATGCTTCCAAATGAAAGAAAAAGTGAGCAAGCTCACATACCCCACGCTCCCCTAAAACTTGACAATGCAAAACATTATGAATGGCACAAATAATCAATGCACTCTAAATACACAGTATAATTTAAAAAGGGGCATTACCTGCAAAAAATCATCACATCAAAACTTCTTGCATATAAGGACATTCAAATCTTTGTATATGTATGTTACAAATTTAATTGGGCTGAAGTTTTTAGATAAATATCGGAAACAAAATTTCTTGGTAATATACAAATCTATAACATTATGTCTGAAATACCTACAAAGTTTCAGGAAATTCAGTGCAGGAGTTATGCTGACAAACTGTTATTTAAATTCCTCAGTGATTTTGATTTGTTAATGAGTGTAAGTCCATGTCCAACATATGACAATTTACACATTTAAATAATTGATGGAAACAAAATTATGATATAGTTGTATTAATTTGTTAATATACTGTACTTATGAAATTATTTAAGGCAAAGCACTAATTTGAGGGGGAGGGGGGGGGGGGGGGGGGGAGGAGGGAGAACTGTTTACTTCTATCCAAGATTTTGTGTGTGTGTGTGTTGAATCATTAATATTTTGATCTCAAAATCAATAGGGGTCTCTTGTGGTCATGGAATATTTCACATAAAATTTCATTACAAAAGCTGATTCCAGTGGATTTTCTTATTACGTAGCTGGAAAGTTTCTTCAATAATAGCCAAAACTCTAAGGCCAAAAATAATGGAATCGGAATTTTCTGGAAATATGCAAATCTACACACTGTGTCCTAAATATGTGCAAAGTTTGACAAAATTCTGTACAGCGGTTTAAGAGGAGTTGTGCTGCCAAACTGTTCATCTCTATATTTAAGATATGACCAAAAATCTAAGTCGAGTGCCGAAATTCTCAGAAAAATAATGGGATCGGAATTTCCTGGAAATATGCACATCTACACACTGTGTCCTAAATATCTGCAAATTTTTAGGAAATTCTGTGCAGCGGTTTAAGAGGAGTTGCACTGACCAAAAAAAAAGAAAAACCAGACTGACTTACTGACTGACTAACAGACTGACTGACTAATGGACAGGTCAAAAACACTATAACTTGTTGCGTGGGGTATAATTAACATGAGTTATCATGGCTTTGTTGTTCTTGAGAAGAAGTTTTTTGAAGATTTTTTCCTACATGTTTCTATTTAAAACTTTGATCCCCCTTTGTGGCCCCACCCTACCCTTGGGGGTCATGATTTAAAGACGTACAACACACTGGGGGAGATAACTCTTGCGATTTCAATTAAACATTTAACTTGATGTCAAATTTGACGTTTATAATAAAGCGTCAAAATGATGATGGAATCGATCCCGACGTAATTAAAAGAATATGGGATTAGGGACTTGATGTGGTTTCTTTTGAAATACCAAATCGTATCCTTGATTATTTGCTCTTTTGATTTAAAACCTGCCCCTCCCTCCATAACAAGAGGCCCAAGGGCCTTAATGGTCACCTGAGTATAATACAACAATTTAGAAGTTAAATACACTGATAGATGAAGCTTTGTTGCCCTAAAGCAAGAGAAGTAGGAAGATCAGGATCAACAAAATAATTAGTCTAGTATTCAGTATCAACTCATAAATTAAGTTCTAATCTGTCCCCAACTTAACACTATCACTACGCAGACTATTAACAAACTATTAGTGCTTCTGTACTATTTTAAAACCCATATTAAGACCTCTAGCATTGACCTCTCTTATGGTCTTTGAAGAACTTTTAATTAATAAAATAAGTTATTTTTGTCTCATTTTTATTTATCTATTACTTACAGGTCTACCTGATTATTAAAACTAAGAAAATACTTTTTAGCTCACCTCAACGAAGTTGGCGGAGCTTATGTAATACCCTCGGCGTCGGCGTCCCAGGTTAAGGTTTTTGGAGCAGTTTTCTTTTCAAGTACTTCTATGGCCTATATTAGTCAGAGATGCATGGAGGATGCATCTAGTGTGTTTCATTGTACCAGTCAAGGTTTCAGATGCTAATTTCAGCTAAAAAATGACCAGGTTAATGTTTTTGGAGCAGGTTAAAGTTTTTGGAGCAGGTTAAAGTTTTGGAGCAGGTCTCATTTCCAAGTAACTATAAACCCTATATTGACCAAACTTGCATGGATGATACATCTAAGGATGCACACTACTGAACTTGCTTCCGATGCTGGATCTGACTAACATTTTACGGATGAGTGACTAGGTTAAAGTTTTTGGAGTAGATCTCATTTCCAAGTAACTATAAGCCCTATATTGACCAAACTTGCATGTATGATACATCTAAGGATGCACACTACTGGACTTGCTTCAGATGCTGGATCTGACCTATATTTTCCGGATGAGTGACCAGGTTAAGGTTTTTGGAGCAGATGTCAATTCCAAGTAACTGTAAGCCCTATATTGACTAAACGTGCATGGATGATACATCTAAGGATGCACACTACTGGACTTGCTTCGGATGCTGGATCTGACCTAAATTTTTGGGATGAGTGACCAGGTTAAAGTTTTTGGAGCAGATGTCATTTCCAAGTAACTGTAAGCCCTATATTGACTAAACTTGCATGGATGATACATCTAAGAATGCACAATACTGGACTTGCTTCCAATGCTGGATTTGACTAACATTTTACGGATGAGTGACCAGGTTAAAGTTTTTG